TTCTGAACGACCAAAAGCCTTCCTGCTTTTATAAAAAAAAAAAAAAAAGAAAAAGAAACAAAGGCAACAAATACAGAAATTATACCCGCATACTTAGGAAACAGGGTGTTCTACATATTTAATCATAAGTCAGATTAACTACTTTGGAGACTGCCAGACTTTGAAAATATTGACACAGAAAACCAAAAAACCTTCGCTTACACTTTCTCTGAATAGTAGAGTTTCCAAGCTTTTCAAACCTGCTAATAAGAAACTTGCCTAGTTAAAAATTCAACACCAGCTAAGGTCTCAAAGGGCCTAGTTTCATAACCTGAAATAATAAAACCCCCAATTACTCATAACCTTTGACTTATGACCACCTCCTTCCCACCTATCATCCTCATAAAACAATTGAGGCCTCCAGACCACATCAGCACACTCAGTATATCTTGTGTCTACTCGCCCGGCTCCAGGGCTGTGGGAGAAGGTTGTTTGTTCTAATGAGCCTTGACTCTGTTCCACTGCATGTTTACCTTTACCTGGACTTTGGAAATTCCACAGCACCCCAAAGCTGGAGAGAACCAGGCTATCTGCACATGATCGCCCCCAGGCCCAAGGAGGTAAGTATCTGAGAAGACCCCCTTGTTCTCACAAGGTGCTTCTTCTATTGAAACCTTTGAGACCCCGTTTTTCTTTCACCCATTGCTCACCAACCTAAACTGCTTCCTTAAAGCTCAGTAGGCAAAGTCAGCAGCTACTGCTTGCCCTTCACTCTCCCTGGGCTACGTGGGAGAGGAAGTGAGACACAGGTGAGTCAGTCACCTAGTCTGGGGTTAATTGGATGAAAAACAGTCATGTGGGCTAGCAGGTGGCATAGTGGTTAAGAAGCTGGACACCCACTTGGCAAACACTGGTTCAAGTCCCGGACCCAGCGGCTTGAAAAAGCATATCCGATGCGTGTGTGCGTGCACGCCCCAAATCCCAGATGAATGGAGAAGGGATTGTGGAGTGGCCATCTCCCATGAGGGGAGGGGCAATTCTCACTTTCCCTCTCTCAGAGAGAACATGCCCTATTAGGAAAACCTTAAAACGAATAAAAAAGAAAAAAATAGTTAATGTAACCAGTGTTTATCTAAAAAGGATGGAAAGTTCCACTACTCTCTGAAGCACGTATTTTTTTCCTAGTATCGTTTTGCTCTTACTCGGTGAAAAGCACTCATACAAGCATTAGAGTCAGACATATTTTTGATAACTGTGGTAGTCTTAGTCTCAACTACTCACTGTACTCCTTTTTCTTAAAAAAAAAAAAAAAAGATACTATTTTGGAACATTAGATACACAAATACTTGTTTAAGAACATGGCTACTTTTAGATAGCCCTTCAGAAATGTTCCCTAAGACAGCTGTTTCCAATACCTGTGGAAGCTACAAAGAAAATACTTAAGTTGTGTATCATTTCACGTTTCCTGAACACTGAACTAAGAATACATTGTCAGTGCTGGTTTACTTTGTGGCTTTATAAGAAAACATCCTTTTATGGACTTGTTTTTAAAACCTGGTTTAAGAAAGCTTCAGCTATAAACGCCCCACTAAATTAACCCTAGAAGTACAGGGCTAGACGACATGACAGTTAATTATTCCCTTCAAATGAGGAGCCCGCCTACACCCGTCAGGTGGATTGGTGCAACCAGAAGTTCTCCCCAGGGCCCGGCCACAGGTGACTCAGCAGCGAGTCAGAGGGCGCTGGAGCGCGGGCGCCAGGAAGCGTTTGCCCCGTCCATGCGGGAGCGCGCCAGGTCCTCCCGGCCCAGCGTCCTAGGCAGTGGGAATGGGAGGTCACTTGAGGAATGGGGAGGGGTATTCTTAGTCTCTTAAGTCCTTCAGAGCCAATGGGAAGGCGCTCTGACCTTCCAAGGGCGGCGAAGGGCCCTGGGGAGATGCTCTACTAGCTGCAAGTGGGCTTCCATTTCCACCGAGGGCGATGCCCGAGCCGCGTCTTCGAGTTCGAAGCGCTGTCTCCCGGGGAGCTCGGCTTTCCGAGCCGGGCCACCAAGAAGCCAGCTTGTCCGCGGGCGCCCGGAGCGGTAGGGAGCCGTCCGGGCGCGGTCCCACGTGCAGCCGGCGGTTCTGCTGGCCCCGACGCCCCTTCGGACGTGCACTCTCCCCCACCCCACCGCCCGAGGACCCCCACTCACCATGATGGGACTTGTAGGGCTCCGCGACACCGAAAAGGGAATGAGAGGGAAGCGAGGGAGCGACGAGGTTCTCCCACGAATAGACTACCAAGGAGTCCGGGGGAGAAGTAGTGAAAACCGGGCGGCCTGGAAGGGCCCTATATACCCCTCCTCCGGCCACGTGTCGGGAGGGCGGGCCCCGGAGCCTGCCCTGGTGCCGCGGTCCCGCCTCCGGGCCCCGCGGGCCCAGGCAAAAGGGGCTCGGGGGGAAGGGTTTGGGGGACCGCGACTGGGAGGGGAGGAGGGCGAGGCGTCCCGTAGGCCTCGACCGGAGTCGGGGAAAGCGCCAGGTAAGGGGGCCGCGCCCGGGGAGGGAGGCCCTTCCGCTCCCCGGGGCCTCCCAACCAGTCACCAGCGCACAGCGCCCTACAAGGCTGGGTCTGTGTGGCCCGGGATGCGCCCCCGCCCGCCTCGGGGAGGCAGGTTCCGCAGGGCAGAGTCCCGGCGCCGCCGCCCACGCCGGCTGGGCCCGCGGGCGCTGGTTCCCCTCGCGGCCAGGGGTGCCCGAGAGAAGACCTTGCTCCCCATGCTAGGTCTTAGTAAACGTCCTGTACCCTCATCCTTACTCTTTTTATTGCTTTTTCTTTATTCATTTTCCTACCTCCTCTTTGAATGAACCTTTGGATTTCTAAAAATCTTCTTCCAGTAGGTACAAAAGCATTTTTCAATTATTTTTTAATATAACAATAGCTTTTTCATTTTTAAAAAAGGAATTATTTTATGTAACTTTTATTTATCTAAGTTTGACCAGAGAGGGACAGAGTAAGAAGTGAGAAAGCAAGCTGCCAGGTCTGGAACTCAACCAAGGCCATGTGGGAGTGGCCATGTGAGAGTCCAGCGTCCTTAACCACCATGCCACCTGCTGGCCCCAATAGCTTTTTTTAAAAATTGCTATGTGTATTGATTTTTCACACTGCGTTATCACAGTTCATCCATAAACAAACCCTGTGGGTTATTATCCCCCACTACAGAAATGAGGAAACCAGGGCTCAGGAATTGACCTTGTTGAAGGTCATGCAGTGGGAGAGACCAGCGTGTGGACCCCAGCTCTCCACCCTTCAACACCACCTTGTACTGCCTCACACTGTAAATACTCCGCTCTGACTGTCCCTGCAAAGGTTTACTTCTCAACAGCACCCTGTATTTGTTTCCTCCTGCAACAATCTCATCTTTTTTTTTTTTTAGAGAGAAATTTTTGCTATAGGACTTGTGCGCTCACCAGAGAGACAGAGACAGAGAGACAAAGGGAGAAATCACTCCCCAGGAGAGATGCCAGGCCACAATCCCTTCTCTTCTCCTCCCAGAATCTTGGGCATGCATACACACAAGGCCAGGTGGGAGTTTTAAGCCACCGGGTCTGGGACTCAAACCGTAGTCAACTACGTGAGAGTCGAGCAATGCAACCATTAATGCCATCTGCTGGTCCCAAACTTGTTATATTAACTGTTAAATTCTTATCTCTGAAGATAGAGCTTATAGAAACACTGAGAGAACAGAGTTGCTCTACAGAATAGATGGTACAGGGCTTTTCCCGAAGCATGAAAGGCAAAATGAGAGCACAGATGGACTTCGGGTGCAGAACTGAAGACACTCTGACGGCACACGAAGGGCGCGGCGAGACGAGTGGAGAGGCCTTTTCCAGTTACGCTGCAGTACACGGTTCCTTCAGTCATCACCGAACGCTTACTGAGCACCTATTCAGGTGTGGCAGGGTGTTCTGAAATTGGGATCAGTAGTGTCATAGTCTGATGTTATATAACTTAGTCTTAATACAATTTTTCAACTTTTTAATTCATTCCATAAACATATTTAGTGCAGTCTGTAGGTGCTGGGAGGGGGATATATGAACAAAATCTAGAGGGATGGGAAGACAGACAACAAGTAAATTATATACTGATAATTTGTTAGAAAGTGAGAGGGCTATACAAAGAGACTTCAAAAATTTCATGGGAAGGAAAATGGAATTAAAGTGTGTATTTTGGCACAAAAATGCATGCAGTTTTTCCATAACATTCACTTTCCACGAACCTTTGGAAGACACTCCTCCCCCCATATAGAGCAAAATAGCACGAGAAGGTTGGGTATTTTGTGCAAGTTGCGGGGGAGGGAGATTAAGGTTGTAATACAACAAGGTGGTCAGGGTTAGCTTTAACTTATTTTTTTAACTGTAGGACAAGTGCATTCACTCGACAGCAGAGGAAAAATGAGAAGTCATCCCTCGAGGGGGATGGCCATGCTGCAATCCCCACTCCCCGCTTTCTCCTTGGGATTTTGGGCATGCATGCACATGTTTCCAGGTGGTTTTTCAAGCCTCTGGGTCTGGGACTCAAATCAGATAATCAGTCATGTGGGATCCAGCCACTTCAACCAAGGTGGTTTTTCAAGCCTCTGGGTCTGGGACTCAAATCAGATAATCAGTCATGTGGGATCCAGCCACTTCAACCACTATGCCACCTGGCTAACCCCTAACTTTAACTTGTTTTTATTGCCAGGGGGCATGTGACCAAGGCTGGGTGGGACTCAGCTTCAAGCAGACCATGTGATGTAGCACTGAGTTTAACCACTGTGCTATGTAGGGCTGGTCTCCAGCTTTTTTCCTTAGTTGTTTTTCTTTTTATAATTTTTATTTGTAGGAACCAGCAGATGGTGTAACATTTGCGCTGGTGGACTCCCATATAGTCAACCTTGGTTCGAGTCCCTGACCCCCTCAAACTCACGCCAGGCGCATGCCCGTGCATGCCCAAAATCCCGAGAGGTGAATGGAGGAGAAAGGATTGTTGATGTGGCTGTTCCCCTGGGGGATAACTTCTCCTTTCCTGTCTTTCTGTGTCTCTCTGGCGAGCCCATGTGCCCTAAAGCAAAAATCTCTCAAAAAAGTTTTTTTGAGGGACTGGCAGGTGGCATGATGGATGACAATTTTTTAAAAAATTGTATTTTTCCCCCCAGCTTTGATAAGTGAGAGTTGAACAAAGACTCGAAGGTTGGGAGAGGTTAAACCAGGAGAAGAGTGTGCGTGCATGCTCAAAGTCCCAAGAGGAGAATGAAGTAGGGGTTGCAGTTGGGCAGGAATTGCAGCCAGGCGTCCCTCCTTGGGGGGGTTTCTTGCTTTCTGTCTCTCTGATGAGCACACGCCCTATGCAAATATCTCTCTTGAAAAAAAAAAAAAGTCTCAGAACAGCCTGCAGCTGGAGCAAATGCCCTTGGGCAAGAGTGAGCCTTTGGTGTTCCTGTGAGATGAGATTAAGATGAAGGTGGAGCTGGGTCTTGTAGCTCCTTGTAAACCACTGTAGCTTCTATAGACCAATGTAGGGGTCGGAAAGAGAAGGGACATTACCTTCTAACTTTTTAAATTTTTAATTTACCTTTTATTTATTTCTTCATGTCTTTTTTTTAAAGAATTATTTTATTTAACTTTATCCAATTTTTCATTTCAATTTGACCAGCGGGAGAGAGAGAGAGAGCAAGCAAGCCACCAGGTTCAGGACTCAAGCCGTAGTCGGCCATGTGGGAATCCAGCACCTTTAACCACCATACCATCTGCCGGCCCCTTATTTCTTCATTTCTATTTGACCAGAGAAGGGAGTAGAGAGAGAGAAAGAAAGTGAGAAAGCAAGCAATCAGGTCCGGGACTCGAACCATGGTCACCTATGTGGGAATCCAGCACCTTAACCACCACACCACCTGCTGGCCCCACCTTGTAACTTTTTAAAAGATCCCTTTGGTCGATATATTGAGAACAGATTGTAGGAGGGCACAGGCAGAAGCAGGTAGAAGCAAAAAGACATCCTTAGATGATGCCGACTGTGGTACTCTCTTGAGATGAACACCCAACTGGAGTGGCAGGAAGGAGG